GGCGGCCACCGTCCATGTCGGGCCATGAGTTGGCCTGGCCACCTCTGCCCTGTGGAACCTCAGCAAGGCCTCCCGGGGGCCAGACCGCTGCCACAGGGTTAGGGAGACTGGAGCCCCGCCAAGCCTGTCTGGTGGGCTGTTCGGGGTAATCTTCAGCCTTAAGCAAAGGGCCCTGGGAACCAGCAGCTTTATAGGAACTGGGGACATAATTAGAGGTGATTCGGGACTTTCTCTACTCCATGTTCAGGGCCAGTGTGCAGTTTTACGGGTAGGACTAGCATGGGGGCTGCTGTCTCCACTTGCCTTGCAAACCGTATGTCACAGGGCACGCTAACCCTCATTGCTCCAGGGTGGCGGGGGCAGGGCAGGGGTGGTGGCAGACTCAGCCTGGGGAGACTCCTCCAAACAGCCCCTGAGGCAGGTGCCTGCACTGGGCGGCCCTGGGTAACCCCGTTCATTTGCTCTTATATTCTAGACAGGTTCCAGTTTCAGGTGAGGATATTAATAGGGATAGGGGTGACAACTAGTGGGGGTCAGTCTGTCCTTCCTAGGAGAGGGCTGGGCCTCAGCCCCCGACTGCTGCCCCGCCACCCTCTGTGGACTGCCCAGCAAGGGGAGCTGCTGCTGCCCAGAGCCTCAGGCCTCCCCGGTGATGCCGCCTGGGACTTGTTTCTCTTGTGGAAATACACGTTGTAACAGGCCTCAGGTACCTGGCGTCCTCGGTCACGCATGGTCTGTCATCAGCATGCACCCACCTGGGCTGTGGGAGCTGAGCTCAGGGCTGCTCTCTTCTTGTCAAAGGGAACCAGAACATCACGACCATGTGTGGCAGGACTTGAGCTGGTCTCACATGCCCCTGTCTCCTGCCTCCGCGTCCCTAACTGGCCAGACATCCCTCCCGAATGTGCCGCCACTGGTTTTCCTGGGATGGGGGCGGGGGTCCCAGTGCAAAGATGCCTTACAAGTTCCTTCTGATTATGCTGAAACTGGGTAGGGACTCACCAGGTCAGGGAAATGTGGTCTCCAAGTCAAGGTCCCTGTAGGCCACCCAAGTTAGATAACTTCCTGGGATTAAAATAACAGTAAAATCGGAGCTAACAGGTGGCATGGGAGTTGGGGTGCTGGACTCCCCACATGGCCAACTGCGGTTCAAGTTCTGGTCTTGGTGGCTTGCCTTCTCACTCTCCACTCCCACCCCACTCTGTCTCTCTCTGTTGAGTACATGTGCCCTATAGCAAATTAAAAATAATTAATAAAATTAAATTAAAAAACTTAAAAAATAAAATAGCAACAAATCAGTTGGGGGTCCAGCTGCGGTGGCGTGTGCTGGTTGACATTGGTGCTACTCAGCAGGCTGAGACCACATGGGAGGTCCAGGTTTAGTTCCCCGCCCACTCTAGAAGCCAGATGTGGTGGTGCATGCCTATAGTCACAGCTGCTGAGACCGAGGCAGGAGGCGTGAGACAGTGAAGTCTTATAAACCTGCACCTTAACCTCCACCACGGCGGTTTCGGCAGCTCAGTCCTGCATAGCTGACTGCAGTTGGAGCCCCTGGGCCTGGGGACTGGGAAAACACACTGGGTGCACGTGCATGCGTGCCCGAAATCCCGAGAGGAGACTGGAGGAGAAGGCTGCTGCGTGGCCATCCCCTGGGGACGGTGATCTTTCACTTGCACTCTTTATCTTTTTTGGCAAGTACACATACCCTACAGCAAAAAATAATGAATGAATATCAAATAAGTAAAAATTAAGCCCAGCTAGTGAGTGATGTGTGGTTGGGGCGCCCGGATCCCATGTGGCCTACTGCACAGTTTGAGTCTCAGACTTAGACGCTTGAGGAATATGCAAGTGGGTGTGCACATGTTCCTGAACTCCTAAACGGGAGAAATAAATACGGGATTGTGGCAGGACCATTCCCCAGAGGGGGCGCTATCTCACCCCTGCCCCAAGTACACGTGCTCTCTGGCAATAAAAAAAAAAATCAGTAGGTCCTTTGATTCCTGTGGTCACCTTTGAGCATCTATGTGCCAGGACTGGGGCTGGGTCCTAGGGAGACGGACAGGCTTCAGAACCTGAGGCAGGTGGGAGATGAGTGAGGCTGAATGCTGCAGGGGAGCCCTCATGAGGAAGAGGCTGTACATCCAGAGCAAGCCGGGAAGGGAAGGCAGTGGGCAGGCCACTGCTCCAATGATGCTTAGCCCCCAATTCCCCTCCCCGGCTTTAACTCTCAGCTAGCTCTTGCCTGGTGCCCAGTGCTGGACAGGGTGGACCAGGAAAAGAGTGATGGGTGAGACCCTGCCCTACCCTTTAAGAGCTCAGTGTCATGGGGGGCTGGGTTCTGGGTCAGAAGTGAAGGGCTATGACAACACGGAGCGATTGGTGTGGGTGGTGCAAATCTATGCCATGGTGGCTGAGGGTGGTCCCAGCCAACCTGGGAGGCTTCTTGGAAGAGGATGAGGGCAGGGTGGCTGTTCCCTGCTCCACCCTACCTGCCCCAAGTAAATAGCCCACCATCATTTCAAAAGTGGTGCTTGGCTTCCAGAATTCCCTTCTTTCCAGGCAGACCCTGTGAGTCCTCTCACGCTCCTTGGTCTTGGATAAACTACCACTTGGTGGCACTTTCAGGCCCCTGGGGTGTGTAGTGTTCATTCCGGTTCACAAGTGTGGACTCAAGTGGCTGCTACTGGCTGCCTGAGCTCAGTCCCGCCCTCGCTTCTCCACATGCAGGGATGTCCCATCTGCCTCCCAGTCACTAGGGTGAGCCCTTGGCTGCCTGTGGCTCCTGC